AAAAAAAAAAAAGATGAACTTGATCATGAGAGTTTCTTCATCAAAAACACCTCCTCCTCTGGAACTTTGCAGGTTATTGACGAACATTCCAACTACGAAGATCGAGGTTAAACAAATTTACTATGAACCCAAATATTTCCAAACATTTTGAAGTAAAACTAGTGCAGAGCCCGTGCGATGCACAGGATGGACAATTTTAAGGCTTTTACCCAACTTTATTATTATATTCGTGAATATTGAAAATAAAATAATTAGAAAAAAATTAACAGTATATATTATTAAAATTATCCTTTCTGCAAACTAAAAACAAAACATAAATATATTATAAACTAATTTAGTGAAAATTAATTAACAACATTTATATTATAATTGACAAAATATAAATATATTATATACTAATTTAATGAAAATTCCTCCTCGTGGTTTTGTTTGGTAAAGATAAACAATGAGCAAATGTAGATGACGATGATTGGCATATTCAACTTCAAATTTCTAAAGTCGATCAATGAATTCACCCCATAGTGTGCAATCAATCTTATTCCTTGTAAACGTTCATTTAGATAAATTATTAAAATGATTTTTTGAAAAAAAATATATAATAAATAAAATAAAAATTGTTATTGTCAATCAATGAGAGAAAACACACTCATTTGTGTTAGGATGTCATCAATCTCTTTAATTTGCATCGATCAGATCAATTACATCTACAATTAAATGGTAAATTAGTTATTTTTTAAAATATTATCAATTATCCATATGAAAAAAAAAACGATAAAATTAATATATCACCAAAGAGTATTAATGTTTGATTTGTAAAAGCCATAACGCAGAGTAGCAAGGCTTCAGAAATCACCAAAAGTTAGAAAAGTCTCCGTTGAATCTAACCAAGTTGGTCATACCGTTTATCACAATATTAAGTTGTGTAATTGTTAGACGAAATGAGCCGTAGTTGTCCTCCACTTAAAAATTTTGAATTCTATATATTTCTCCCTCTTTCACATTGTTCATCTATATGATTTCAGTAATACGACCTCTCTATCATAAATATTTATAAAACGTAAATGAGTATATAATGATTTTAATAATACACATAATTAAAAAAATAACGAATTCAAAAAACAAAGAAAGAAAAGAAAAACAATGAAGAAATGAATTACAAATTAATTATTTAGTCTCACATCCTCATCATGAAACTTAATTTTCAAGTAAGTTTTAAATTAAACATCAAATTTATTTTCAATTATTCGAATTACTCGCAACTTCATAAGTAGTTTCTTGATTCTAGTGACTTTCTTGATCAAACCATATTCGTACATCATATTGAATTGAATAAAAGATAAAATGAGATACTTGAATATTGAAAACAAAATCAATCGAAGGATGACTAGAAATGATCGCAAAATGACTGAATTTATATGGGAATAACAAAGTATAATTTAATTAAATACAATATATATTTGATATGAAAAATATATAAAAACTGTAATAAATCAATTTTAAAATGGTACAAATCATTTAGACACGATTTGTGTAATGTAAAAATTACTTTTTTAATACATCATTTTTATACTGTAAACATTTTACTTTGTTTGGAAAGTACATTTTTGGTTGATTGTTAATCAAATTATCATTTAATTTAAATATAGTATAATTTTGTTTTATTCGGACGAAATTCAGTCAATAAATATTATTTTGTTAATCAATTATGGTATGGGTTGAGTTATTGTTATGGTACAATTGGGTATCTTAATGTTCTTTTTGCTATGGTTGTTAAATTGTGTGAATGATATTGTGTAATTTAAATAGATTGATTGGTTT